GATCCGGAGTTTGTGGACATTACTGGGGGGAGGGGACCTCCCGAGAATGGGCTCTAAATTTTTGAGATTTCAAATGGGTTATAAAAGTATGCAAATAACTTGTTCATCCATGTAAATGATTATAATAATTTTGGAACTTTTTCAAAAATTCAATTTAGCCCTAAAAAAATTTTTCTCGGGGTCATAGGACTGGGAAAATTTTGGGAAGCATACCAAAAATTTTTTATGTCGCCCCCCCCCCAGGTAATCCTGTGTACGTCACTGCTGTAATTGTATCCTTTTGTAAAGAGAGATTCGAAATTGTTCTTATTTTTACATCAAAATATGGGCCGTGCACTTTCAAAGTGGAAAAAGTTGTAGAAGCACAAACGGTTACATTTTTCCCCTTGTGAGAAAGCGGAATGCAAACTCATAGTGGGAATCATCATGCTGCTTTCAGGCTCATATTTTAACTTTATCATTGAGAAAGTGGGGAGCAGTGGCGGAGTGGTATGAGGCGCTGCTGTGACGAGGTCGAACCAAAGTTCGGTCTCGCTCTGGCTAAGCGGACCTCCAAGGGAAAATAAAAGCACAGACAGTTGATCGGGTGGATCTCGCAAGTCACTGCAAAAGGTCCGCACGCTTCAGTTGCCTCCTCTACTGTGAAGTAATGCGCTTTACCATCATTGATATAGGGCTGTAAGTCTTCCGGAACAAAAGCAAAATTCTATACATCTTGGAAACAAAAGCAAAATCTTAAACACCTTGTGCTTGCATTAGTAGCGTGATGGTATGAGACGTCGCCGTGACTAGGTCGGACCAAAGTTAAATCCCGCCCTTGGGCCGCCATGCCCTCCATGGGGACGGTTTGGCACCAGGTATGGGAGTGTAAGTATTAATTGGTAATCGTCTGGCTCCCGGCAGTCGCTTTGAAGACGGCTGCACGGATTCAGTGGCCTTCACGACTGTGAAGAAAAATGCACTTTATTCTGTCTTTGAAAAAGGGACTCCTGACACAAAAGCAAAATTTTGTACATCTTTGAGTGCTTAGCTAGTCTATAATAGAGCATTATCAGTCCAGTATGGCAAACTCAATGCACCAGTTCCAGGACTGTGCTCACTGTGGGATCTCTTTTTTCGACGAGACCATGCATCTCCTTCACAAGGGTTTGCACACGGAAGGCGACCCCTGGAGATGCAACTTGTGTGGCACTCAGTGTATGGAGAAGTACATGTTCACCACGCACATCATCTTCGCAACTCACTCCACGTAGATGAATGGTCGCTTTGGTACATAATATGTCTCTATGCAAGTATTCGACACCTTTTACCCTGTATAGACTAGTAACACTTGTTCCTGTAACCTCCTCTGTGTGATCACCTATACTAACTACGGATAACGAGCAAGTCGGAGAGCGGAGGCGCTGTCGTGCGCGGTCGTCGCTGCTTTGCCTTCTAAGGCAAATCTACATTCAATCCTGACTGTTCCCTCCCAAGTAACTAGGAATGCTTTTTCTTTGAATATATGTAGATAATTCTGTTTACGATGGCTTCATTTGTGTAACAATTCCATCAAATATCATACTTCACTCTAAAACTCCCAAATGCGGGCCCTTTTATGAACACCTCAATTTTTTGTAATTTTTGTACTTTCATGTTTTCTAATTGTTGTTTATGTTCTTTTCTCTGGTTAACAACTTTACTTAAACTCGGTTGCAGCAAATAGTCCTGAGATTTGTGTTTAGTTGAACAAAGTTTTGTAAATGAATCTATGATGCGGATCACCTCTTTTTGAGGGCTCCTTTCCACACATCTGACTGCATTTGTAATTCCAAAAAGCAATGGTAAGGAAAGGGGTAACCCTAAGGAGCTTAACACAAAAAAGAGTCGAAAAGGGGCAATTACAGTTTTAATCTTGTAGTTGTTTATACCAGAACTTGTCCTATACAACAGCATTCCTGGCGACTAAGAATACATCTAAAATCCGCTATATGGACCAGTTCGTTTTTTCGTAGTGGATATCATGTGATACCAGTGAAGAGTAGATATACTTTAAGGGCCTGATTCGAAAACGCACTCTTTTGAGTGGGATTTGTGGTACAAACTCTTCTCCTTCAAAAGACAAGGAGAGGAGACTAATTAGGGTATGGCTCATGGTTGACATTTGCAGTACTCTAGCGGAGGAGGTAAAAGAGGTCTATACTGCCGGCAAGAATTTGAATTTTACATTAATCTTCTTAAATTTGATTACACAGTAATCAGGGCTCCGACAAGCCTGCGGAGAAAATCCGTCACTTCCAAGGGGCTTTTTTGAATTTCTATCCCTTTCTTCACGTCCCATAAAAGGTGAATTGTTTAGAAAACCTTCTTGACAACGGCATTCATATATTCTACGAAATTATTGCAAACTGCAGGTTCAGTGTTGCAGCACGTGGGAAAATTTGGTAATTTCAATTCTCTGCTTTTCTGGATTTCTTCCTAAGACTAATTCCACTATACAACTATTTCAAGCGTAACACTATTTTATTACAACCTCGTGATTTTTTTATGAATATTTCACGGCTTGATCATAG